CTAATTGATCTAATTTTAACTAATGTTCTCCATAAATATTCATCTGTGGGAGTATTTGCAAATGATCTGAGTGATCACTGTGTTGTAGCCACAATTAGGGACACTAAGGTCCAAAAGGTTAAACCTCACATTATCATTAGAGAAGAGAGACAAAAAACATTTTGTGGAGCAGGGTTTTGTGCATGATCTGTTTGATTTTGATTGGGGTAAAATCGATCTGTGTGCTGATGTAGAAACCGCATGGTCTTATTTTTATCTTGGTTTTATGGAGATCATTGATAGACATGCACCCCTGCGTACATTTAGAGTAAAGGGACGAGACAATCCTTGGTTTCCTGCTGAGCTGTCTAGTCTCCTTCATGAGAGAAACAAGGCCTGGGCAAAGGCTAGGAAATCAGGCTCAGAGGTAGAGTGGCTGCATTTTAGGCAACTAAGGAACAGCTTCACATCGCAAATCAAAAGTGCTAAATCAAAGTACTATCTTTCAGTAACCACAAATAATCTGAATAATCCTGGAAACATTTTGGAAAGCCATTAAATCGTTATCCACCGGCGATATCCGTAATGAGCTACCTCCGTGCATTACCACAGCATCTGGCACTATATCGGACAGGGCTACTATGCTAAATTGCTTTAATGAGCATTTTGTGTCCTGTGGTTCTCTATTTGATTCTGTTACTAACTCTGCTTCTGTGAACACTACAATATGTGACTCTGAAAAACGTGTGTTGGAAAACCCTTTTAGTTTTACCCCTTTTACTGTTGATGTTGTTCGTGAAGCTTTAACCAAGTTAGATCCTAAGAAACCGGCTGGCCCGGACAACGTAGAACCTTTCTTTTTAAAGATAGCTGCAGATTGTATTGCTCCACCTCTTACTACTCTTTTTAACCTCTCCCTCAGCACTAACACAATTCCAAAATTGTGGAAGTCAGCATGTGTCCTGCCTTTGCTAAAAGGAGGGGAGGCCACCTTATTAAACAATTATAGACCCATCTCTAAGTTGTCAGTTCTGGCCAAGGTTCTTGAACGCCTAGTGAGTAAACAGGTAAAGGTGTTTTTATGTACAAATGACATCCTGTCTAAACATCAGTCAGGCTTCAGAAAGCAACATAGCACCATCACTGCCACAATGAAAGTGGTAAATTATATTACGAGTATTTTAGATAATAAGCAGAGTTGTGCAGCTCTATTTATTGACCTTTCAAAAGCGTTTGACACCGTCGATCATCGCATTTTAAAGCAGAGGCTAGCCAGTATAGGCATGTCCAGCCATGCAGTAGGTTGGTTTGTGAACTACCTCTCTGAAAGGTCCCAATGTGTTCACTTTGATGGGCTGTCTTCTGAGTAGTTAAACATTGCTAATGGTGTACCACAAGGTTCTGTTTTAGGTCCACTTTTATTCTCCATATATATCAACAGTTTAGGTGAAAATGTGGATGAAGCTACTTTACATTTTTATGCGGATGATACCGTGATGTACTGTGCAGGTCCCTCCATTAAGGAGGCTGGTGTTAAATTACAGGATGTTTTTAAAATTATTCAGACTCAGCTCTCTGAACTAAAGCTTCTTTTAAATGTTGAGAAAACCAAGATAATGCTCTTTTCTAAAGCTAAAAAGACACCAGAGCCTGTTTTAGATATTGTAACTACGCAAGGAATACAACTTGAAGTGGTTACCTGTTACAAATACCTTAGTATCTGGCTTGATGATTGTCTCACTTTTAAACTTCATGTAAATAACCTGCTTAAAAAGCTGAGGGTTAGGCTAGGTTTCTTTTACAGAAATAAGTCCTGTTTCTCGCTTGAGGCCAGGAAAAGGCTAGTCACTGTGACCTTTTTACCTGTGCTGGATTATGGTGATCTATATGAATGCACCTGCCAATTGCCTGGTCAAGTTAGATGCTGCGTATCACAGTGCACTGAGATTTGTGACAAACTGTAAAGCATTAACCCATCACTGTACCCTGTATGCAAGGGCTGGTTTGCTTTCACTAACTGTACGGAGGCTCAGTCACTGGTACATTTTTATACAAAGCCATGTTAGGGAAACTTCCATCTTATATCTGCTCCCTGATCTCACGGAAAATTGTAAGTGGCTACTGCCTGAGATCGCATGCTGTGGTTTTATTAAATGTGCCAACTGCTAGGACTGTCTTAGGGAAGACAGCTTTTAGATGCGCAGCTCCTCTGTCTTGGAATAGTCTGCAAATTTAATGGAAACTGAACAATCTGGTGCCACTAAATGTTTTTAAAGCTCGGTTGGATGCTAGTCAATCGGAAGCTGTTGGTACCTGTTTATGTGGATAATTATGTAAATGATGCTGTATGATGTCCTTTTGTTGTTCTATTTATGTTTTCATGTTTCATGTGGAACTACTTGAGCAGGTCTCCCTTGAAAAAGAGATCAATGATCTCAATGGGATTTATCTGTCTAAATAAAGGTTTGAAATGAAATGAAATACATTGAAAACTTTGGACAATACCCACAGGAGCAAATTAGGGTGAAGTGTCTTGCCCAAGGACACATTGGCATGTTGACTGTATGATAGTATAGTTCTGCATCATGTTGTCTACTTGTAACACACATGTTTTATTGTGAATCCTCAATTAGTAGGGTGAAAACATTAAGTAAAACAAACATATTTCCTTCTGATATGCAGTTGACTAGGAGTAGTTTAACATGGAAATACTCAAATAAAGGTCAAATACCTCAAATATATTCTTGAGTACATTACTTTACCATATGGGTTGGGTCAATATAGAATAATCACATTGCGCCTGTGTGATGTTTACTACTTCTGAATATAATGAGTTTATGGCAGGCATGTGCATACATTCTTTGCACATTATTACTTTGTGTGTGTGCGCTTGGTTAATGGTTGTTTAAATAGATGTGGAAGTCACAGCCCTCTCATATCCTCTGCTTTCAGAAAAACACACTCACACACTCACAGGAGTTGTGTGTATATAGGGAATCATTAGCTAAAGTGATGCAGGTTTAGCTATCATGAATCACAGTGGCATCATATCGACAAGCCAAGGCCAGCGAGGAATCCAAAGTGTGTGTGTGTGGTGTGTGTGAGAGAGAGAGAGTGTGTAGGGATTATCAGTATTTTGAGCTGGCAGCAAGCCCAGCTGTCCTCCCTTCTTCCCCATTTTTCTCTGTCTCCCTCTCTGCCTCCGCGGTATTCCCCTGAGGAAACTTCATTTGCTCTCTGCCTGTCATTGCTCCTTCCAGTCCCTTCTCCACCCCCCCCCCACACCTTTCCCACCATCAGTGTCTTTCCGGTTTCAGGTGGCACACAGTGACAAACCCAATTGGATTACCTCCTTCCACTCTTGTGTTGTACAGCCTGCAGTCCTCACAGTGGGCTTGAGGCTGGACTTCACCACTCAGCGGGTCATTAGCTTTGGCCGCATTTCTGCAGCATGATTGCATTAATTGTTAGATCGTTTGTGTCAAGTTCTTTGAGTTCCCTGTCGCTTTCTCAATGTCTACCAGAACTTAGAAAGCTAGAAGAAAACAGAGGACACATCACACAACTCAATTCCTTTCCTCGTCTTTATTTCATTCCTTTAAAACAGCTCTGCACTTTAAAATAGACGGTTGCATTCTCAAAATGTTTAGGTGTATAACCTTTGAAAATAACACAAAAGACAAAATAAAATACTCCTACTGATAACTCTCATAGCCCAAATATAAGCATTAAAAAACCGTTTTGAACATTGTAGCGCTGCATCGGCATCACATATCAAAGGCTACAAAACCAATTTCCGCAGTTACGACAATGGAGGCAAATAAATGAAATCAAGTAAAATGTCTACATAACATTAGAAAATGTATATCTACTTAGATTCAGTTAATTTAATGTGTATTTGTAATACACTATTGGCTATAAAAGCAACTAAGAATCCAAAAAAAAATAATACATACAAAATAATTAATTTAAATATAGCCTTTTGTCCTTACAGTTAGCGTTCAGCAGTTTGTGTACAACACTTGTGGACCTCGTATATTGCTAAAACTCTGAAGCTTCACAACATGTCTAATCTTCTCCTGACTCCCTTGGACACCTCATTCACCTCTCTGTCTTCTCGCCCATCGCTCTCCTCTTAATCATCCTTCCTGCTGGATCCCTCCCTCCCTCAGTAATATCTCTCATGGTATACTTGTGATGATGGATGGAGAACCAGTTAAAGTGAAGCAGACCTCACATCCATCACAAACTCAACAACAGCAAAGTTAACTGCATCACCGTTTGTTTTTTCTCCTGGCTCTGCTCTCCAGAGTGCTCCAGTGTTATGGTCATTCTGGCTCCGAGCCAGCGTCTCCACAGCCTTTTTTAAACCAATCAGAGCAGGGCACAGCTAGGTAAACCTGTTTCATCAGAACTGGTCAACATTGGACACTTTTTACCGTGTACATGCTTATTATGCTGTTTGTTTTTTGATTGTGGCTGTGTTTTTTAAAGCAGAAAGACAACACTCCTATATATCCTTGAAAAGTCTTACAGTTTATTGAAATCATGAATCAAAAATGAAGGCTTTAATTGGTATTATAAAAAAATATATATATAAATTGGTAAACTCTAATACGTATATAGCATTAATTCACCAAATGGCTTGCCTCATTACTGTCTTACAGATACAGAAGATGGAAAAGGTTTGTGTAAAACTACTCTTGAATTACATTCCGAGTGGCATTCCAAGTGTTAAAGTCTTAAATCTTACTTGCCTTAAGCTTAAGGTACCATGTGACATAGTTGTAGACATTTTAATATAATTATATTGAAACCGTTGGCCATCTTGTTTCCATAAACTATTGATAATACATTTCAGCTCTGGCAATATATATATATTTTTGGACATGCTAGTTCTCAACTGAGTTGTCAAAACCATACCTATACTCCAAAATAATCAAATTAAGCTGGCAGTAACGTATCTTATATCCTGTTGAGAACTTTTTCTAATCTTATTTTCCCTCTCTGTATCCCCCCAGCTCTATCATCTCCTGTGGAACTCGGCCCCACCCTAGGCTTAAAGAAGTCCAGCTCCTTGGAGAGTCTCCAGACCGCCATGTCCGAGGTTAACAGGAAAAACGAGCTCCTCCCCTTCCACCGGCCTCGCCCAAATATGGTCAGAGGACGAGGCTGCAACGAGAGCTTCCGAGCAGCTATCGATAAATCCTACGATGGGCCAGCGGAGGATGATGATGATGGTAAGGGATGAAGATAGTGTCCGGGCATTAAGTTGGGGTAAAGTTAAGCTGAACATTCTATCAACATACAAAAACACGGAGAAGGTGAAGGAAACATTTGTTTTTTATGCTAAGGGATGGCTTTTTTAAGTTAGACACAAAGAATACTCAACTGTGGACCACACGTATACTTTATAATTAACACATGTTCATCCAATTGTTTAACATTAGGTTTGCTTTTCTCAAGGATGTGGAACCGTTTATCTGGACACTCAGGACATTAGCATATAACACAATAGGAACACAGACACACTGAAGTTAAAGATTGTATTGTTGATCAACACTATAAGAGACATCATGAAAACTCAGCCAAGAGTATGTGTCTGAAGACTTAGAGAATCTTACGTCTGTAATACTCTTTTTCAAGTCAACATTCATATAATAAATGTGGCGTGGGACACGTGGACTATCATTGGCTACATGTCATCCTTGTGCAGGTTTCAGCAGAAAACATATATGAACAAACTATTAAATCAACAATAATACTTACAATGGATGATTATTTCATAGTTAAACTGAACATCTTATAATCAAATCAAAATTGGAGCTTCTTCTACATCAATTCTAAATAGTTGACAAAAAACCCAAAACCCAGAACTTGAGTCAGACTGGGCCATTACCAGAAGAATATACTTCAAAGTGTCAACATGTGTGAAGCCAAGCATCAGCATTGCCTTACAATATATGATTCAATTCAGACCCGAGATAGTAGCTTTAAATAGTATCCGGTAGCCAAATGGTGTCTACTTTCTCTCTTTTTTGATGCAGTTCAATTCCCAGCTGTGTTATTAGCAGCGAGCTCTTATCAGTCACCACTAGAGTAATGAGTCGGGCTGTTTCAGATCACCACGCTCACACAGGATGGGACTAATAGGGCATGTCAACAGCACGCACACGCAGCGCGCATCTGTCACCGTCCTTCTCAATGTGCAACACTTTGAGAGCTGTAGTTAATTGACAGAGAACCGTGAGTCTGAACATATGGCTCTTGGTTGTCTTTACATTTGTGCACTCTTACTTTAAGACATGCTTTAATCGTGTCTTTGCTTCAATGCCAAATGCTCTTCAGCATCAGTTTTACCGATCTGATCCAGAGGAAAACGTTGCTAACATTGTTGTAAGTGAATAATTAGTCAGGTTTCATGGAGAGCTGCAGTATTATGTGGGCTAATGCCAACGTGTTTCACAGTTTCCTGTGAATGTCGTTGTGAGGAGGAGTATTGAGCAGAGGCTTTGAGTCATTGGTCTTGATGTCTCATGTCAGCTGGAGTAGGATTATAGCGCCAAATCGTTGTTTCTGTCATTCTCCTCTGTCTACGCTACCTTCACACGTGTTACATGATTGTGCCATGAAATAGAAATAGGGCGGCAGCAGCTCAGTCTGACTTGGGGACTGAAGGGTTGCTGGGTCTAGTCCCGATCAGAGCTGTCTTCAACACCTGAGGTGCCACAATGTCACCTCTTCATTAGTGCACGTCTTTAAGTCCACTGTGTGTGGTGTGTGTGTGTGTGTGTGTGTGTGTGTGTGTGTGTGTGTGTGTGTGTGTGTGTGTGTGTGTGTGTGTGGTGTGGTGTGTGTGTGTGTGTGTGTGTGTGTGTGTACATGTGTGTGTGTGTGTGTGTGTGTGTGTGTGTGTGTGTGGTGTGTGTGTGTGTGTGTGTGTGTGTGTGTGTGTGTTGTGTGTGTGTGTGTGTGTGTGTGTGTGTGTGTGTGTGTGTGTGTGTGTGTGTGTGTGTGTGTGTGTGTGTGTGTGTGTGTGTGTGTGTGTGTGTGTGTGTGTGTGTGTGTGTGTGTGTGTGTGTGTGTGTGTGTGTGTGTGTGTGTGTGTACTTGTTCCCATCGTTAATCCCTCCCCCCGCGTGCACCCCTGTCCACGTCCCTCCAGACTGCCACTGGCAATGATTTTGAGATATTGCAACAATCTTGAAAGCAACCCATGTTTAGAGACGGTAAAATATGCACTCCAAAATGCATATTCTAATATGTGTTGAATTAGTGATATTTAAATATTGCTGTTTAACATGGGATATGTAATCTGCGGAGAAAAGGATAACGTCTGCACCCCTTTCATGTTGTGTAGCAGAACTTAAGGGGTGGACACGTTAACTGATACCGAATATTCATTTATTTTGTATCAAGTATTAAAACACAACATACAAATCATTTTGTTTGGTGACTGACTTTACTGTCTTTTATGTTAAATAAGCCTAATGAAGCCGGACTACTGACTGCATTGTATCTTAATTAAATATAAGGTGACCATAGATACTTTCGGTTTCAGCAACCAGCTGATGCCGGTTTGCCATGGTGACTAACTTGAAAGTTAATGTTAAATAGTCTTGCTCGACTTCGGAAGTGCAATTACTATGTCCAATGTTACCCTAACTGAGCCACGTTTGATATCTGATATACAGAAACCTGTGGTCAGCACTCAATTTGTAAAACAGATGTATATTTTCATGTTTGTTTGTTATTGAAGAGTGTTCTCATTCTGTAATGTGTGGTAAATATGTAAACAGTTCACTATTGTACACATAAACACGTTTTTTATAGGCACATATACACACACACACACACACACACACACACACACACACACACACACACACACACACACACACACACACACACACACACACACACACACACACACACTTAATTACATCCGGTTGCTAGACAGCCTTTGTAATGAAGTTTGAAGTGAACATCCACACAAAGTAAAATCTCAAATGAAGTAACTAATTTGTTTTGGTTATATTATACAATTGGACGTTTGTGTGTGTGCGCGTGTGTGATGATTGTAATTCAAGGCCAGGCCGTTAGTTAGTCAAAGACGTAATGAGGCGTCACAGCTAATGCTTTGAACATTTAGCTTGTCTTCTTTCTAAGAGTTAATTATATTAATTCACTGTCGGGTTAATAAAGCTGCCACGGAGATGCTGAGTGGAGAACGTTTACAGCTCTTTGTATTACGGCTGTTCATTTATGTTGCTGTTTGTTTTTGTTTGTAGGCAGAGAAGCTCCCTCTTGATGGAGCTCTGGGATTTTAGCCTTTGCAGACCATTAACATGCACACAAACCAATACAACACACTACAGGAAAGGGAAACCCCCAAACAGCATAATAGGGCCCCTTTAAACTGGCAAAAAGGATTTCACTTTGGACAAATAAATAAAGGTTGATTTGGTCTGCTTACATGAGTTGTAATGGGGATTTCAATGAAGAATCTTTCACTAGGTTAAGCACTTTTATAAAACATCCCATTGATAATCCCATTTCACACACACTTTATTACTTTAGCTTAATCTCAAGCCCCAAATACACAGATGTTTGTATTGACCATTTCAGACTCTTTTGAAAGCATTAACTAACTGATCTAAATCCAATGAAACAGCCCAATGCAATTATTATTTATTTGTAAACTACTATAACTACTTCTTAAAACACTCTTTTCTCCCCTCCACTCCTTCTAAACCTGACATGTCTCTTCTTCTTCTCCTCTTCCCTCCAGATGATGGTTCTGAGCCCAGTTCAGGCCGGGACACTCCTGCAAGTAGTTCATCCCGCCAGGGGACGGGGGAGGGGACAGAGGAGAAAGGCAAGAAAGACAAGAAAAAGAAACCCAAAACAAAGAAGAAAGACAAGAACAAAGGGAAGGGAAAGGAGAAAGAGAAGAAGAAAGCAGAGGAGCCCGAGGAGACGGAGAAGAAGAGCAAGAAAATAGGCTTTGGCCTTCTGAGGTAAGACACTCTGTGTGTGTGTGTGTGCCTTCGTGAGTGTGTGCATGTGTGCGAGGGAGAAAGCAGGACCTGAGATGATACTTACTCAATCTCTTGGCTTAAATCATGTGTTTGTGGTCACATGTATATTTGTGTGTTTCTACCTGTGCCATGTGTAGAATGGCCGATACAGGAATCATGTTTTCTACTGGTAGTGTGTGTTTGAGGGTCGTTTTGTAAGCTCAACATGAACATTTGTGTTGATAAACGACCATTGTTTGGGTCATAAAACTAAATATGTTGTGTTCTTTTAAATGTTATGTTTATTTTGTATTGCACATTCTTACTTTAACTTCCTAGGTTTGTATACATGTTTTGATTCAATTTGTTACATTATTTAAATCTTTTATTTATTTAATTCTTCAATGGAGCAACTGCCACACAACCTAATGTCCCCCTGATAAATAAAAACAATGAAATGATGTCTACAGTAACGCACAACTCAATGTCCTCTTAACATGAGGCCACAGTGTGCACTGTCACACTGTAATTACAACAAAAACCTTTTATTTCATATCAACAAATCACATGATCCGTCATCCCAAAAACGTAATTGTGTCAATAGGAGCAGCTGCCTTAGCACAATCTGTGCACAGTAATGCATTCACACTATATCAGACAAAAGTCACCCTTTAAACATGAACACTGGGGTCTTTTTCCCTCTCTAACATGCACACAAAGACCCCTCATAAGAGCAGTGCCCCAATTTCCTTCAGAGGCGCTGGAAGTAATCCTTCAGAACTATTTCATGTGATTAACTTTAACACCATATCTTCCAGCGTGAATGGGACATTAACGTGGACACAGCCTGAATGAGTGTTCAACGAACACTTTGTACTTTCTACCTTAATTGCTAGCTAAGATCTGGGGTGGGGGTTTCACCGTGGCTGTTTCTGAAATGGGATTTCACATGACCATTACATAGATAAACATTTTAGGAATAACACGCAATTTTATCTAAAAATTGGAGCCTCACTTTTCCAAATACACTTACTGTACAAAAGCATTCTGTGTGAACCACATTACAGAAAAACACTTCCAGATTCAAAGTCCGACTATCACAGTAATTATATCTCAAAATTGCACGTTACTTAAAGCAACATTTTTAGCAGATTTAGACCAATTTGCACATAGTTCACTTGATTTATTAAGCTCAGTGCTATTTTCTTTGAGGTCTCCACCTTTTTGTTAACCTTTTCACGTTGTTTTGCTAATTCTCACTTCAGCGTGCTCTCTCTCATACCCATAGGATTCAGTCATAAAGAACTTCTGGGAAGCAGAAATATTCCTTTTATGGTGTTAAAAGCACATGAGGTCATAAATGACCCTTCATACCTAAACATGTTCAATAATCACGTCAATTCAGATCTATATATAAAGAGAACATTTCAGTGTAGGCTAGTTTAAAAGAGGTTTGTGGTGTAAACTGTACATTATGTTCTTCCCTTCTTTACCCACATATTTTATTAGTAGTTTTTACTTTAAAGCCATACGGCGCAGTACCTGCTTTTCTTCCTCCCTCCATTCCCAAGGTGAAAGCTACGTCAATCTGTCGTTACACAATATGCAGCTCTGTATGAAAGAAAAAAAAACATGACATTGCCATTAGGATATTTTAAGATTATAAATATCATATATTTATTCTTGAAGATGCAATTCTTCAAGACCTTGCAACATGGAAGAAAGCCCCTGGTAATCTGACTTTGATAAAGGGTCAGTTCACCCAAATCTTAATAATTCTCTAACAATATATTTAATTAAGAACTGATTTCCACCAGTGATTTTTAAAATGTAGTATAGCATTTAAAGTTGTGAAAGCATCCATACTAAGTTCTGTTGTTATTTTCTTTAAAGTATTCTTCTATTTAAATGTATACTTTGTATCTTCCCATGTTTCGATAATCCCAAATGTTATCCTGTTCCCTCGGCATTTTTACCCATAAACAAAAGAGAGAGCAAGTGTGAAAATATAAATATATATTTTTTATAATTTAGATAAACTGTCCCTTTTGAATGAATTCAATACAATTTCAAACCAGTTGTTTTTGTTCATAAAAAATATGTATTAGAGTTTTTGGAAAGCAAATGAATAAGAAATGGAAATCTATAAGAACGCAAACACAACATTATATTCTGTAAGACTTACAAAATGAAGGCCTCATCTGTAATGTGTCAGAAACACATTAATAGGAAATCTTAATGCATTTATAAGGCTTTATATAGCTCTTACATATTTATAATCACACACTGCTATTCACAACAAGTACTTTAACATTTGGAATTATGTATTATAGGTTCAACATTCCTAATGATTTACAATAAATTGACAATTGTTAAAATACAGGGTTACTGTACGTCACTTCCGGACAAAATGATGGCCCTGCCCACTTTCTTGCGAAAATAATGCATTGGAACAAAGCGGAACTTAAGTTTCTTCATGTCTTACTGCCGAGTCATAAACAGTGTTGCACATCAAACAACACATACATCCAGAGTTACGGTTTCCTTACTTCCTCTACAGAAAAAAGGACGGTAAAAGAATCAATCTAATTCAGAAATCACAGTTTAAAGGTAAGTCGGACATCAATCCCCCATTTATTCGGAGCTCCGTAAAAACTAAGCTGTCAATGCCGTCTGACGTTCTATTTGACACGATTTTCGAGTAATTGTAATTTTTTTGACAAACAGAAATATTGTTTTCAGGCATAACTTTAAAATGTTATGGAGGAAATCTGCATTTTGGTATTTTTAGACAAAACCCTTAAAGTTGAAAATAAATGATAAATGCTGAATGTCCAGTATAATATGTTATGTCACCACTTGTTATACTTAATTTACCTGGATATAGTTGTTATCTCCTATAACCTTAATAATTGCTTTCTAACGTCTTGTGCAGAAACTAAAGCCATCTTGTTTTTTTAAATTGAGAAATGTGCTCATGGCAGTCAAACACAATTACATATGTATGCTGCTCTGCTTTGAATTTGGACTTTTACACACTGTGGTGCTATTGACAAATATTCAAGCTACATTGTGGAGCAAATGGATAATTGGTTGCACAATGTGATGAATTCCTATAAATGCACCGATTACACACCTCAGCTTCTCCATCATTTCCTCTCCGCTTACATTTTTCTTCTATTGCATTTTCCTCTACATCTCCAAGGCAACACATGACACATCTAAATGTTCTCCTGTCCTCATTCACTCTATGATCTGTCAGTCTTACCATTGTAGCAATGTTTTAAGTGCTTTAGTAAAGGTTATGCCCAATCCCTTCTTTCCATTTTCCTCCATCCCTCCTCCGCCTATCCGCCACATGTTATTATGGTCTGGACAACCTACGCATCCACACCCAGAATATCTCCAGTTGAATCTAAAGATCGATGCAGCTATCCTTCCATCCACCCTTTCATCTAACCACTAATTCCCCCATCACATCTTGCCTTAAGTGCCTAAAGAAACCATATCATAGACCAAAGGATATTTTAGACCTTTCCTCTACACCCAACTCTCATCACCATAAGAGGGCCCTGATTGGAGCCCAGTAATAATCCTCTCCTCCCCCTCTTTCCAGACATATTTCTATAACCTCTCTCTTCACACCCCCAACCCCCGTAATCTTTGCATCATTCCAATTTGTTCCTCTCCCTCCAGCTCCCCATCTGCATTTGATTGCATGTAATGAAGGTAGACTGAGAATGAAAATTGCTGCTATTCAGTACAGTTCGATCTGGGCCGCGCTGCTGATTTGTCATATTCATCCAAGGCCAGATTTGATTGGCATAATGGTCCAGAGGAGAGGTGGTATGGGATACTCAACCTTACTCCAAGTTATCTGGTTCTACAGTAATACATGTTAATGTGTATCATTGGTTAGTTCACACATTTGACACGCTATATGTTTTCTTTCTATGTCTATGCATGAGCTACAAGGCCACATATTGGTATAATAGAGCGTTGCAGGAAGGACTCCAAACACCTGCAAATTAGTTGGCATTTCCACTTCAGCTTCTTTTATCTGAAAGTAATGTTGTTAGTGTGTTCCATTATTTGTTGGTTCTACGACCTAACAAACGTCAGTAAATACCTCACTAGTCCAAAGCTTGTATGTCAAAGAAAATGTGATAGCTAATATGTGGCTAAATGAGACTACAACACGGCATCATATCGAACATTAGTGGCCTTAGCTTACTGGTGGTGATGCGCATCTATGTATCATAAACGTGTGTTTGTCGAAGATCAGATTTTCCAATGGAACATCCCATTGGTTTTTGGCGAGGCAGCCCTTATGATGATAACTTCTGGGTCGGCCTTCAGCACTATGTCATCACTTAAGTCTCTATTACTGTCACTTTCCATTACCAGATGTCTATTGAAATGTACTGCAGAACTCCATTTATTGGTTTTTACTTATGAAACCGTTATAGTCCGAAAGGCCAAATTACATTAAGGTGTTTCCATTTATAAAGAGTGTAGAGCAGGGCTCTCCAACACGTCGAGCTACCGGTAGCTCGCGGGCAGCTTTTCAGTAGCTCGCCGCTCGATTATCGATTATAGCGTAGTAAGGTTGCTTCTTGATTTGGACAATAACGTTTTTTTATTTTAGAATTTTTTTCTGTCACACGAATATCAAATTGGTCCGTGACGCAGTGATCAAGGAACAGACGTGACAGCGGCACAGCGACACCACACACGGACCAGTCCAGAACCAACAGCAGAATGACCCGCTCTGAATCAGGCCCGTGTCGCTGCGGCTCAGACACACAGGGAGGGATTTTTGTTTTTTGAAAAACACTCGTTATCGTCATGTCAGGTTTTTGGTGGATTTAATCAAGTCTTGGATTGCAGAGTATGAATGTCCTCTTGCTATTTTCAGTTGATAAATACGTGTGTAAAGTTTGTGAAGGCAGGAAGAAAGCTTCCGCGATCACCGTCTCCTCCGTTCCTCCAAGCCCCGC